TTAAGATATGTACAATATTTTATTCAATGACATGATCTGTTGTCCTTAGAGGAGGCAAAATACTTTAATTTTATTTTTCAAAATTATAGAATGGGAATAACATTTTTTTTTGTTAAATATATATTATTACTAAAATATATTATAATTAACTGGGTTAGTTCAAATTAGAATGAATTGCATGCAATTAATAAGGAAACAGGGTTCGAAAAGAAGGCTACGGCTAAAATTCAAAGTTTTAAGGAAATTAAAGAGAATAAGCAATGATAGAATTATATCTAATAAGCTTCTCAATGAAATCATATCCCACAAATTATCAAAGAAGGTGAGCATTACGCTTCTAGAAATTTTTTGTCCCAAAGTTTTGATATTAACTTTTAAACCAATACGGAACAAATTTGTGAGATATCTTGCAATTCTTAAGGGAACATTTTGTATAACTTTTTCGCAACAAACTAGAATTATTAGAACTTCCAGTTATTAACTTTCCGAACACAATACATTCGATTATGGGCTAACAATATAAAGATCTCTTCTTTGCAACACTCTGTTTATAATATGCATATTACAATTATGTAAATAATATGCATTATTTTACATAAATACTAACAATGATTGTCATGGTTGTTATATGCTACATCGTAACTTACACAGCTCAATATTTCAATCAAAAAGAAAAAGAAAAGAAGAGCAGAAATGTCTTCTTTTGTAACAATTTCAACAAGAGAAAATCATATGCAAAAGGCACAAGGATAAACATAAACATTGTATGAATAATATCCTTTTGAAATTCAATATAAGTAAAATTGAGTTATATGTACTTATATAATATATATATAAATATATATCAAAAATTATGCTTATTGTATAAAATGTTGATTATTGTTATTTTAATAATTTTCTTTGCTTTATTATTTTATTAGATTCTCTTTATATTTATATGCATAATATAAAAGGCACGCTTTAATAAGCTAAGAGTTTCTTCGTATATAATATTTATCCTTATTTTCCTGTTAACATCCTTTAATTATTCCTATATAAGTATCATGTATTTGAAAATACATATTTTTTTAGAAAAATTATACATGCTATAAAAGATGAAGCCTTCTGTGGACTGTCGAGTTTTTACATGAAGGCGTCTAGGGCAGAATCAATGAGGCGTCTGCAGCCAAAGTATTGGTGTCGGGTGTCGGAAATAAGATAAGCTAAAATCTTCCGCCTACCAAAAGGACTAATAAGTTGTTGACGTCTGTTAGGAGGGAGGCCAAGTTGATAATCGGCCGCCTCACTAGATATCGCAGACTGGAATACCACTTACACAAATTGGGATAATCTGGAAACAGAATATTCATTACTTTTGTGAAGCCCAGGGAGCTATTGGTTCACTTGGGGAGATATGTGGTGGCACTCTCAGACTTGTGAGAGATAGCGCTTTGGCGAATTTGTAAATGTGTGAAAATTATATGCCTATAGCACTTTATAAACCAGAAGGATATAATAAGTTTTTATGGCTGCGGGAACCAAATCTTAGGACCTCTGCCAATCTACATATCTAATGTGTTAATATCCTCATTACTATGAATATCAACTCTCATATCCTATAATTGTAATTTTATTATGATTTTACTTCTATTTCTGTTTCGTTTCTATCTTTTAACTACAACATTAATTTACATCAAACTTGTAATCTACAAAATATACAATATAAGAAATAATTTCATTATAAAAGCACTGTAATTATTCTTTTCCCATAATATTTTTTTTATATTTTTATTTAATTTTTAATTCATTTAAAAACTAATTTTCTACAACCATTTAAACTTTATTAAAAGAAGTGGTATACACATAAAAATGGTATATTACGAATTATAATAATAATTATACACAAAAAAAGAACTTAAAGGCTCTAATATACACCTGGAATTTTTTGAAATTATTCAGATAATTACATATCCTTTTACATATTATTATAATATACAAGTATCAACTTCATAATCCATTTTTGAAAAATTAAAAGTGCATTATATTTAGTACATTAAAAATTAAAAGGATTCAAAGTATTATTTTTTTTTTGTGAAAATTAGAAAAGGATATTTATATATTATAAAAATAAAATTATTGAAACAAAATGAGAAAAAATTTAAAATCTTTTAAAAATTTAATTGTGTATAAGAGAATCACATAATGTAGAATTATAATATTAGGATATTATAATTTAAATAATAAAATTTAATTTCTAACACGTACACTTGCAGATGGATTTCTTGGAAAATCGAGAATGAATACTATAAAATTACATAAGACCAAATTGATCTTATTGAAATATTGGTAAAGAAACTCCTCCCATACGACAATCGCTTGATACAACGAGTTGGATTGTGAACTCCCCAATCCTGAGAAAACCCTGCCCAAATAAACCGCCCCTCTTGATGATATTATACAATATTATTTACAAGGAATATTACACATAGAAATATGATGAAACCGCAATAAATTAAGAAACCTTTATACATATGCATAATATTTGATTTATAATATCTCATATTTTCCTTCAATTATAAGGAACTATGTATGAATATATTTGAACAAAGATAAATGAACTTTAGTGGTTTTCAAAATCATTCCCCATATTCCAATTTAATAATTCTTCCTCATAAACTATATAATATGTATAACATTTTGTATATTATTATATAAAATATTATTACTTTTATTTATCTAAGTATATTTGTATAAAATACTTACATTTCCTATATACATATAAACTTTTATAATTATTATAAAACTTTTATTGTTAACATTCGCGATACAAAATTTTTACATATATTTTACATAATAATTTTAAATTTTAGGAAATTTTTTAGAAAAATTATTTCATATTCGGAATAACTATTATAAAAAGAAGGTATTACGATGAGTAAATTCTTAATCATACGCCATATAATATGTATATATACTAAAAATGTATGGCATGAAAATTTCAAGAAATAATTTTACAAAGCACGTCACATACAATGTAAGTTATATACAATAAAAATTTAACATAGTTATGCTTGTATATTGTGTATAATTTGGTATAGAAAAATATTTAGATAAATTTATAGTATATGTATAAAATTAATAAAATGAAACGATATTTTATAATTTACGATATAGTTTTTATATATTGTATGTATAGTGCTTATATTTATAATAGAACAGCTTAAAAAATCATACAATATCAAGATAATATCGTTCATTCCATATATTTACAAATATAATACATTCACATACATAAATAAAAATTTAAGTTGAAAAAACTTTTTCTGCATAACATACAGTGTGTTTACAATAATTTCTTTTACAAGCTACTTTATATGTACGTATTAAATTCACATACTCCATCTACTGGAAATTGATTTAATTATTTTCGAGAAATGTTTGTATCAATTAAATAAATATTATTAAATGGCGCCTAAATTATAAAATTAGTAAACATAATCTAATTAATGTGCAAACTGTTATACATATCTATGTGTACATAATAAGACTGTTTATGACCAATGCGTTTGTTTTAATATATTATCTCCAAAAATTGAAAATTTTTTTTTGAATCGAATATTCTTATATAGTCTAATCTATTGTTTATTATTTAAAATTGTTTCAATCAAATCAACTATTCAGATCTCAATTAGGTTTAATAAAGCTTTACTTAATATGTAAATCAGGTTTAAATAAATAATCTTTATAATGCTAAGTGCGCCATCTATTGTTTTGTAGTTGAAAACAAATAAAAATTAATATTAATTAAAATTCACGTCATTTTATAACAGTGATAATTTTATTTATTGAAACTTAGCCGACTCGTACAGAACTCTTCGTACACACATTTAAGTTGATAGGACCTATTAAGGCATGATTATTCAAGTAGCGAATTACATAGAAATGTTGTTACGCAAGAAGAAGAGACTAAAATATTTGGAGGAAGCAGACGAAATAGAAGCGGCATAATTAAGGATGCGTAGAAATCAAAAAGAGGAGAATTAAAAAGGAAGATAGGCTTCAACATGAAAGAGAGCATCACGGTCCAATCTGAAGTAATGCGAAGAGCGGTTCTGGATTGGATCTATCGTGGGATGGTGGGTGTTTTTGTCGGTAGGAGTCCGACAGTATTGAGCTGTACGGAACCATCTCATTCCCCATGAAGGGTTTCACCTACTTGACCACGTGAAAAAAAGGCATGATTATTCCATACCAATTTTGTATCTATGTAGATTCTATAATATTTTAAATATTTTTCAATTAAAATTTCAAAAAATGTTGTCGTAAAAATAATTAGAGAAGCTGTATATATAAAATTTTATACTCGTATGTATAAAATTAAGTCATAAATTTTAACTCGGGAAATATATTATTGAATTTCTGTCATATATAAGTCATATATTTTTTTTCTATATAAAATTTTATAAGATTTTATATTAAGTAAAAAAGATATTCCATTGGGATTAATTAAAGTGAATATAATTAAAAATTTAATTAGCTTGGAAAAGAATATAAATTTATCAATATAGTACAGAAGCTTATTATAGACACATTTAAGAGTTCGGAAAGGAACACAAGAAATTATGATTTTTTTTGTTTTGCAAAAAAAAATTATCAGTAAGCATAAAAGGATGGTAATTAATATTATTTTTTATAATATGTTAGAAAATATTGTGAGAAATAATTTTTATTTTATATAATATAGGAATTAGGTATTCGGAAAATTTTTGGAATTTAATTTAAAAGAACGAAAGGAATGGATGTCTTTAAGATTGTATTAAATTTTGTTTTTGTTAGTGTAGGTTTATTTTACGGTATCACACGTTATTGATTAATTCAGAAAATAAACTTCAAAGCTCTAAGCGTTTCATTTATTCTACTCATATTCTACGTGCAAACATTGTGTTCATACAATGCCTTTATTAATTATTACAACTAACTTATCCCATAAAAGAAAAAGAGCTATTTGAAGTAATAATTGTGTAGAAAACTCAGTAAATATTTTTCTAGTTTGATTCTGGAAAAAAATTTAACAAAATTTTGAATCATGTAAAAAATAAGTTAAGTGAAAAATTTCAACAAATTTAGAAAATTCACGGTACTTTTTATAAAACTAATGCTCCGTTTACAAAGACCTTTCTCATCTAGCTTAACAGTATTTAAAAAATTTTAAAATTTTGTTATGCTTAACTATTAGAATTTTCAGATCAAGAATTCAGGCTTAGATCATTAAATTAATTTATTGAAATTCTTAAAAATTTAAAATCAAAAAAATTCATTTTTTTTTTAATTTGTGATTCATTATAATTTTAATCTAATACTTATAATCTAAAACTTATTATCTAAAATTTATAATCTAGAATTAAATTCTATTTCTTTTTTATCATTACAAATACTATTTAATTGTTTTAAATCTATTGTACTATTAAAAATTGGATTATCTTCAGTACCAACTGGATCAAGTCTTTTTTCAATCATTTGATTTTTTTCTAAATCCTCTTTTTTATATAATAATTTTCTAACAAATGGTGATAATAAATTAGGATCAATATCACTGGGCTTATTTGGACCAATAATTAATGATGCTATCACAGCTACAATAATTGTTATAAAAGCTCCAACAAATGTATAATATAAATATGAAATTTGATATATTTTAAATGGTTCTTCCCTAAAACGAAATCAAATTTTTCATCAAATAGAAAATAAAACTTAAAAAAATTAAAAACTTACTCATCCATTTCAAATAATTCAATATTTTCTGTTGCATTTAAATTATAACTAGTCATTCCGGCACCATACTTTGACATATAACTGTATTCACATCCAGATTCTGATAATGGTTTTGTTTTAAATTTCATTTCACCAATTTTAATAGCATGTTGTGCTGCACCACATAACCATGCCATTAAACCAAGACTTGTAGTACCACCAATTATTGCACCTTTACCTTCAACCCATGGTACCATTAAACCCAAAGTGAATATTCCAAGTAATGGACCATTTGAAACAGCTCCCAAACTAATAGAAAGTTGAAGTACTGTACCAAGTTTCTCAACTAAGAAAACCTAATTTATCAAAAGAAAATATTTTTAGTTATAAATGTATTTAATAAGTCAAAACATTAACTTACCAATGAAACACATATTACACCAAATACAACAACTGATCCTCTCATTATAATAGCACTCTGTAATTTCGTAAGTGGTTTATAATTATAGAATGGTTTAAAAAAATCTTCTAATATAACAGCTGACATTGAATTTAAACCGGTTGAAAGTGAACTTAATGCAGCACTAAAAACACCAGCAACAAATAAACCCGGTAAACCAGGATAATCTCCTAATGTTTCCATAACAAGTAATGGTAAAACTTGATCTTTTGCTTTTGCCAACTGAATTTAAAAAAAAAAAAAAACTAAATCAAAATGAAAATTAAAAAGAATTTAATAGTAATTACTTGAGTCGTAAGTGGATCACAATCATGATATTTGGCATAAATCAGAAGTCCACTATAACCACATATTGCCAATAAACTTAATACACCTAAAACGAACAGCCACAGAGCTCTGCAATTACAAAAACAAATATAAAAAATCTCGTTTCACAATTTAAGAATAAATTAATTTACATTCTAGCCTTCCGTAATGTTGGTAATGATAAATATCTTTGAATCATATTTTGACTTACAGCTTGACTTTTTAACCAATGTGGTATACCACCGATCAATAATGAATAAACCGTATGCCTTTCTTTGAGATCAAATGTAAAACTGAAAATTTCAGAAGCAAAAAACAAAAAATTTTTGATTCAAAAGTCAATTTTTTTTTAATCCAAATAAAATTATTTTTAATTAAAATTACTTTGGTGGTTCAATTCTTTCACTATCCCAAGCTCGACTAAATACAGTTCCAATACCACCAACATCAATTGTACCTTTTACAATAATTGTTATCATTGCACCAAACATTAAAACTGTTTGTACAACATCAGTCCATACGACAGCTTTTAAACCACCCTATATTAGAAATTTTTTAAAAGAAATTTTTATTTAGACAAAGCTACAACACAGACGCACTTTAAAAAAAAATATAATTTTTAAAATTTTCTACATAGACTTACCACACATGTATAAAATATACAAACTAAACATACAATCGGTGTTACTAAATGTACATTAATTCCAGTTGCTTGATTAAATGCTAATGCTGGTACATAAATAACAATTGGTAACCAAGTCATCTAATAAATTTTGTATTAGAAAAAGAAAATTTCAAAAAAAGAAAATATTTTTATTTAATGAAATAAATTGGTAAAGCAATATGTTTGCAATTCAATTTTTTTTTTGTTACTTTTATATATAAAGAAATTTTTTAAACATACCGATCCAAGTGCAAATAATACTGAACCAAAAAGTCTCATTCTCTTATCGAAACGTGTTTCCAAGTACTGAACAACAAAAAAATTAATAAAAAATTAAAAAAAAATTTATTACAAATTAAATACATAAATATAGTATTAAGTATACATAATGTATATTCAATTACAAGTGAACCAACATGGACATACTTTTAAAAACATAAAAATCCGATCACTCAAACCTGTGCTCTATAAAATATCACATTTCGAATATAAGGTTAAATTTACAACTTGTATTAATATTGTTTTGGATTTAAATAATGAAAACGATATTCTGACAAAATAATTCTCTATTACAATATTTTGTTGCATATATTTAGGAGGAATATTAAAGAACCTTAACTGCTAAGGTAGCTGCAAAGAAAGTTATTAGTTATTACCACTTTGCTAGCTTATTTAGTTAAGTGAACTATTTCTCATAAAAAGGGGATTACTACCACATTTTTACCGTTATAGAAATTGAATTGCCGAATAAATAAGGGGGGAGGAGCCAAGGATTAACAATTAGAAAACAATTGAGGGCGAAAACGTGAGACAGAAAGTTTAAGTAAGGTAAAATATCTATCAATATCTATAGATTACTGTTGAAATTTCAAATTTCCCGAATTTCAGTGCAAAAAGAGAAAATGTGTGTTAAAAACTGACGATGTCAAAAATTTCCGGAAAACTGGTACAAAATATAAGATAATTTGAATACCTGCTTTTAATTTTTCATTATATAGAAGATATAAATTGTGACATTTTTACTTTTACAAAATTAGGAAATTGTCGTTGGTTTGTAGACAAAAAATTTTCAAAATATTCCTTTTATAAACTTTTACTTACTGGGAATTTCGGAAATTGCCATAGAGACAGAATTAAGGACGAACAGACAGAATAAAACTAAAAAATTAATTATATCTTTTTTCTTTAATTTTTTGAAAATATTTCAAAAAGTATGTAGGAAACATAAGGAGAAATATCTTTTTTTGTGATGTTTTGTAACTAAAAAGGACGTTGTATATACATGAACATGAAATGAACAAGGATATTCTGTCAATATTTTACTTGATTTCACATAATACTCGTATGTATGTATTTTTAAAATTTGTATATATATATTTTTTTTATAGGTATATACTTACATGATATGTTGATGTTAATTTGAGATCATGAAATACTGGTAAATACACATAGCTCATAATAAATCCCATAGCAATAACTGCCAATACAATATACAAATATTGAATTCCATATAAATAGACTTCTGTTGGTGTACCAAGTAGTGTTATACCGGAAATAAAACTGAATATTTAGTTATTTTTTAGTTTATTATTTATAATTTTTAAAATAAATTTTATGAAATTTAAAATTTTATTAAAATTTTTATTTTATTAAATAAAGTTATTGAATTTTTTTTAAATATTACAGAATGACAAAACTCCATTTGCGAATATAAATAATATAAAAACTATACCGGGGGCACTGTAAATTTTCTAGAGAGGAGAGAGTATAAGGCTATCTCAGTAAACCTTCTTATAGAATATAGACAACCATTTACCGCGGAAAAAAAATGACTCCGGAATCACACATTTACGGTAGCGTGGTCATAAGAACATATAAAATAAGGAAAACATTAGCTATAGCACCTACCAGAACCATCAAATATAATTCAGGCTTTCATACACCCGCGACGATATATATTGCGAAAAAGACTTATTATTTTTAAATGATTATATCTAGACATCTACGGTAGGCTATTCACATGACCAGAGTCCAAACTCAAAATAACGAATGAAAATGGAACGTATGACAGTATAATGCCATAAAACAGCCCTAAGGATCTTTTCTGAATATGGAAAAGGAAAAACAAATATCGTTTAAAAAAAAACTTCTTACCGTGTTTAAAAAAACACATACTAAAACGAACCAAAAAAGTGCGTAAATGATAAAACAAGATTATGTTTAATTTTTAAATTCACTATTTCAAGAGGATTATTGTTACAAAATTTTAGGGAGCTATAAAAGCGAAAGACTTAGACAAGTAGAAATTTTCTGCAGACAAGTAGAAATTTTTTGTATCTCCCAAACCTTTGAAATTTGATACCCTAGTTCTTAATTAAAATTTCACCTATTTTATATAACCTAAACGATGGTGTGTGCAAAGCACTGTCGCAAATCACTTTAGAGAATTTGATACCGCCAACATCATTTGTACCTTGAAACCAAAATTATTCAGAAATTCGAGCTGTTGAAGATAAGTAAAAGTGTTAAGATATTCGTAAGGATGTTACTTTCTTTAACTTGACATTTAACATTGAATGATATTATAAAAAATTTTAAATTTAAAAATTAAACATTTTTTAATTTCAAATCGTAATTTTCCATTTCCTTCTTTACTTTATAAAATGTAATATTAAAATTTTTCAAACTCAATAAAATTCTTATCATTCTAATTATCAATAATCATCTTTCGGATTCCATACACATACATACATATGTACGAGTATATAGGTACGATATCTTGTATTTCACGTAATCCTTATTCATACTTGCATTGTACCATAATCCTTACAGTCATTTTGTTTTTTGCTAAATTAAAATTATATTTATGTAAGATTCAGTTTACTGATTTCTTTAATTCCATGTAAATATAACAAAAAATTTTCTCTTCATGTAATACAAATCGTGTTTTACATGATTTAGTCAAGGAAACAACATATTTATTTCCATTACATACTCGTATACATATATTTTCCAGTAAAATTCTGCATATAAAAAATTTGTTTTTATTTTATTAATAAACTTGAATAATAATTTAAGAACGGGAAATTAAAATCTTTAATTTCCTTATAAATATGTAAGTACATTCTAACTTATATAAAAGGAGGATATTTAAATACTAACGAAAAATTTAACCAAAATATAGGCAGATTTTATAAAATATATTTAATTAACTGTAGACGGCATAATGATTTATATGGTTTGGCGAATAATTTCAGTATCATATGGACATAGTCAACATAGTCAAGTATCATACTCAAAATTGAATTTTCAAAAATCGAAGCTTATCTTTGAATGAATTAGGTATTTTCTTAGAACATCATTATTTTCACAATAACGTCACTCAAGCCAACAACTTGCTTTAGTAACAAAAAATGGAATTCATTATGCGATCGTCAAAAAGTATTAAACCTTTACAAACTACGCACAAAAGTCGTTCTATAGGAAAATTTCCTTGAATTACAATGTACGCCAAAAATTATGCAATTCAAAATCAACAATAACTACTAATCAATTATCTATCATTTTCGCTACAAGATTTTCATTATTAAATGATTAAAGAAGGTTTGAAACCCCTGGCTCAAACATAAGTTTAAAAAACTCACATAAATTACATGAGTAAAATGAAAATTTTTAAAAACAAAATCAAAATTAAGGAAATTTTCGTTTAGTTTTTCAATTTAAGAAAAACAGAAAAATGATTAAGATTAGAATAAGGATATGTGAAAAAATTAAGAAAATTTTCAAAACTATGAATAATAAGAGGGAAATAATTTATTTCTATCTAACACACAAACCTCCCAATTCTTTCAAAAGTTATTTTCAACTATACAAATTCAAAAATTTTTTAAATATCTCAATTTATTATATAGAATTCCATTAAAAATTTTCTAACAAATTTTCTTAACATCGTCCCATTTCCGTTCTAAACAACATTCTTATAATTACTGAAACACTTTTACTCTATACACTTATAATGGTGAAAGGCACGAAATTTTAACACATCATAATATTATTGAAAATTTTGATTATATAAGAGCGTATGTATGTACATATAGAATCTTAATAAAACTTATAAATATTTAAATATTCTCTCAAAAGGTATAACTATATTTTCTAATATTTTATATCCCTTGGTAGTTAAACTAATGACATATAGCATGGGATATAATTTCACCAAATTATAAAATACAAAAAACAGAAGAAAACTCTTTAATGATCCTTTAAACTAAAGTATATAATATTGCTATTAAGTTTTATAACAATATCATTAAAAATACTGAAAAGATTACAATATTGTTTTTGGTATGTATTTTGAACATGGGCATGCTAATAGGGAAAGTCTTTTTGAGATTTTCTTTTATAGAATATAGTAAAATAAGCAAGAGAACTTAATATATGTACAAGCTTTTGTTTCAGTCCTTATAGCAATCCGTAAGAGCTATATAGAAGCTCGATGTAGACAGTACATAAAAGAGTATGATGGAGTTAAAGAGAGCATATGTTCTGAAAACGTGTTTTAAAATCTCGTTAGTTTCAATTCGGCAACTATTGTTAATGATGTTTTGACTTTGTAAATAAATGCAAAAGTATTTGCATTTTGAACTCTACCTTTTGAATAGTTTTTTGAAAAAATTTCAGCAATCTTCAAATATAGATAATAAATCCTCTGTAATACTTGAAATTGTTTCCGTTCTTGTATTTTAACTTGAACATAATATATGTATGTATATGAAAATATAGGAAAATGTAATTTATATAGGTATGTATATATAAAAACACCCAATACATTTGGGACCATATATAATATGATATATTAAAATCTTTCACTTATCTCTAATTACATATAATATTACAACTATAAATATGTATTGTTAATTTTAATTATATGGTAAAATGTATATAATTTGTATATAATGTAATTATGTATATAATATTCTCTATATTATATACATAATTAATACTTATAATATACATATATATTAATAAATAATTCAAATATTTTTAAAGATAACACACATGTCTCAATGTTTAAACACATATTATGTACAGATGGTATCCGTTTTGAACACACTATTAGTGATGCACCTTTGCATAGAATTTTATGACTATTTAAAATTATATTCCTATAATATTCATAGCAATTAAGACTTGACTGTAATCAGTCTCGAAGCTGGCGGCATCAGTATACCTGCCCTTCGACTTCCAGGGGGAGCTATCGCCCTATAATTTGAAGGACATGGTGGAGAAGGCTCAGCCTCTCCGAACCGGCCTTATTATTGGGAGCGATGCCAATGCGCATCATGTAATCTAGGGAAGCTCGGACACCAACATGAGAGGTGAGTCACTTTTAGAATTTATTTTAAGCACTAATCTCACATTATGTAATAGAGCCTCAGAGCCCACTTTTATTACTAAAAATCGGTAGGAGGCTATAGATACAACTCTTGCCTCAAACATCCCGGAATCCTTGGCGGAATCTACTTTAAATGTCTACGACAGCGAATCTTGTTCCTCGGAAGTGGTCACCGAGGCAAGAATTTGAATTATCCGCAGCTTTCAGCCTTTCAAGTCGGCGGGCCCGGACGGAAAAGATTTTAGAACAATTAGTCTAACATCGTTTCTACTAAAAATATTAGAAAAAGTATGACAGTCGCATACATAAGGAGCAACCTTAACCCGAGGTAAGTGTCTCCGGCACAACATGCGTATCGGAAGGGTAGGTCAACGGAAAGGGTCCTACATTCCTTGATACACTACATTGAAGGGTCCCTTAACTGCGAGGAATACACACTGGCTGTCTTCCTAGATATTGAAGGTGCTTTCAACAATGTCAGGTCGCGGTCGGAATATGCTGTCGGGCAGATCCATCAGGGTCAACTTTGGCGGGTCATGCATTGGGCGCTCTGTTGGAAGGGACACCCCCCAAGAGAGTGTGCTTTCTCCTCTTCTCTGGAACCTGGTAAATGGGCCGATACAGAGGGCTCTTAGCCTAGTTTCGAACTGGGCGACCGACTGTGGGCTATCTATTAACCCTCAAAAGACGGAGCTAGTCATTTTCAGTAGGAGATATAGATTCCGGGCGTGGCCCCTCCGAAACTTGGCGGAATGGGCCTATCCTTCAGCAGGGAGGCTAGATTCCTGGGGCTTGTTCTGGATTCAAAGCTGAACTGGAAACTTAACATCATGGAGAGAGTAAAGAAAGCAACTATTGCGCATTACTCATGCAAAAAGGCCATCGGGAAGAGGTGGGGTCTGAAACCAAACATGGTTTATTGGCTATGGTGGTGAGACCGGTTTTGATGTACGGAGTTCTGATGTGGTGGCGGGCGCTCCGTACTTCCTTAAACCTGAGGTTAATCAGCAGGGTTCAGAGGATGGCAATGGTGTGTGTTGGTGGAGCTATGCACTCCACCTCTACACAGGCTCTTGAGATTCTCTTGCATCTGCTGCTATTAGATATACTGGGCAGGCAGATGGCTGCGCTTCGAATCTTGCGGACTGGGGCACGGGGTGGAGTC